AACTACTTCACAGTTAGGGCGGCTAGGAGCTGGAACCAACTTCCAAGGGAAGTGGTGCTGGCCCCTACCCTGGGGGTCTTTAAGAAGAGGCTGGATGCCTACCTGGCTGGACTCATTTGAGTCCCGTTTTTGTTTTGGGGTTTTGTTGTTCTCCCGCCCTGGCAGGGGGTCGGGCTAGAAGATCTACTAGGTCCCTTCCGACCCTAAATCTATGAAACTATGAAACTATGAAATAAGAGTTGTTTAAATTCCTGGTTCACATACCTCTAATTCATGTAGGCCTAATTCTGCCATGCAAATGCTGAGATTGGTAGAGCTACTTGTGGAGCATGGGGCTGATTTACTGTAAGTAAGGCTGGCAGAGTCTGGCCCTCAGCCCAGTAAGACTTGGGATGAGCTTAACTCTTATCATAAAGAGATGAGGGCATCTCCAAACTTTAGCATTTTTCCTGCAGTGCATCTTTTTGAGACAGTTTTATAATTTGTATAAACAGTTTTTTATACTCTTATGTTTTTAGGAGCGATTATTAAAACCTCTGAGTGCTTTCATTGGCATGACTGGTGAGATGAGAGAACTTGCAACGGTCATAAGCAGAGTAAGATTGGATCTTCATTTCAGTGGTTTGGAGAGCCTGGGTTCTGTGGTTGTCTGAGAATGCTGGCAGTTTCTTTTTGCTGGCATTGAAAGTGCTAATTCTCGAAGGCACTGGACCAAGTTTTTTTCCTGCGGCAGCACCATTAAAGTTACATTAGGAATAAATTAAGCCCAGTACATTTTCCCATCCTTGCATGTAGTATTACAGATTTTTTCCTGACCAGGAGCACAAAGAAGTAATTTAAATTGCTCCCCTTCCTATAGGGACATATTGCTGTTTATGATATAGGAGCTGTACCAGCCAGACCAGCACTGCTTTCCTTTTTGCCTTTGCTATGAAAACTGTACATTAGTTATCTACACAGGGAAGCTGCATGTTACCTGAGATGGCTGATTAAGGGCCTAATTCAGCTATAGGGCCCCAAGTAGGTCCTGATCCTTTTTCATCTTGCATATGTAAAGTTGCATACATGGTAAGTTCCTTGGTGAATCGGGGTCTAAATAAACAGGGTCTTCCTTGAAGGAAAGATTAAATGCCAATATACTGTGCTTAGTTGTAGATGTTTTTGCCTCTCAATAAAACTTGTCTGGTAATATGAACAAGTACCAAGACAGAGAATGGTCAGTGATTATCTGAGGCAAAAAGCAATATTTCTAAGATGCACTTGAATCCTTTTAGTAATAAAATTACTGGAGGAACAAGTCAAATGCAGGGAGTATGGTTACCAACTCTGCTTAGGATTACCCTGCAAGTCCACCCTCAAGCAGACTGCCTTCCAAGTCGGAAAAGCACTTAAACCCATTTACTTGAGTCTCTTTTGCTCGCTCCATATTTTCTGCCAGGTCCAGTCCTGAGTGTTGGGCTTTATCCTAAAAGCCCACTGTGGTTATGAGATTGCCTGTTACTTTATGTCTTGTCAAGGATGTTTAAATGAGCTGGGAGACATGCTGTCCAAGCTTAGAGCTAAGCAACTGCACTGCTTCCTGAGTCAAAGGTCCTTGTCTAAGGCCTGTGGGCAACCTGTGGCATGAATGCCACAAGTGGCATGGGTAGCGCTGTATGTGATGTGGCAGAATGGGGTGGGGACAGGCAGCAAGGTGGCATGCAGAGCAGGGAGCAGAAAGCAGAGCAGCAGATGGGACAGGAGAAGGGATTGGAATGGCACTCATGGAGGGTCTGGGGCTAATTTGTGGCACATGCCAAAAAGGTTGGCCTTCACTGGTTTTAGGGATCGTTCTGATTATATGCCCTGTAGGGCCTGAGTCTAGCAGGTTTGTGAGCTAGAGTCAGAGTAGCTTTCTTCATGTAGGTTTTGGTTGATTTTTATTTTTATGACGGTCTTGACAAAATGACATGGCTGCAGTCACTCCTGGCAGGAACAGGAGCAGCAGTTTTTAGATTATTTTTATGGTGTGTTTTTATACTTTACTAATATGTGCCTAATTGTGATGGCTGTGTGTGTCCAGTAAATTAATAAAATGAATGACACATGGTAACTGGTCCACTAGAGAGTCTCCTTTAGTGTTGGAAAGTCTTCTAGAAGTCTCTGTTTAGCATCATAAATCAGGTTCAGCTGAAGTTGCTATTCATAGAAAGAAAAGTGTGATCTATTAATTGTTATAAATAATTTTTCTAAATGTATTCAATGAACTATTTCCCTGGAGCATACACCTCTCATTCTAATTAGTGGGGACCTTTCTTCATTTTATCTGAGAGTACAGTTTAGCTGTCAGATTATAATAAGAGTATGAATCTTCTTTTTACACAACAGCTGGCCTGTGGAGTACATTTAGTTGGATGAATACTTCAGGGGGCAGGCCAATTGTAGTCCCTCTTTTAGAGGGTAGGACAGGATGGCACCTTAGACTAACTGGTTTAGAGGCAACAACTTACTTCAGAAAACCCCCACCTAGGCAGGTTATTCCATCATTCTCCATTCTGGAGTTTCTTAACCCTTCCTTTGAACTATGTGATGCAGGCTACTTTTAAGGAGATGGACCATTGGTCTGGTCGATTATAGCGGTTTTTGCTATCCTTGAAGCCAGTGGCAAAACTTCCCCAGGCTTCATTGAGATCAGGCCATAATTAATGGCTTCTCTAGGAATTATTTTTGTGTACGCCCCATGGTAAACCAAGGATTTACAGTATGTGTGGTTTGAATTAAACAGTCTCATTTAATATCACTGTAACTTTACATCTTGGTATAAATGGGTTGTTTTGCTACTTCAGTGTTTATTATAGTTTTACAGGAGAACATTATTTCTACTAAAAAGATCAAATATGTGTTGCAGGACATTTATCTCCATAATCCAAACATAAAGTGGGATGACATTATTGGACTTGATGCAGCCAAGCAGTTAGTCAAGGAAGCAGTTGTGTATCCTATAAGGGTAAGGCCCTAAATAGTTTGAGAAAACCAATGCTGGGCATCATCCTACGTGGTGTTACGGTTAGAATGTCACCAGCTAGTTCACATGTTTCTTGCAAAAAGAGAACTGTTGCACGGTTCTTACTGTATCTATCCTGTTCTGAATGCAGTTCCTATCCAGCAAATGGCATTTAAAAAGACAGTGGCCTATAGCTTCTCACATAAGAAGGCTCTGCAGTGTGCTGGATTGGAAA